CCGCTCGCGAGGGCAGCCCGGACAGGTCGCAGGCGGATGGACGAGTCGCCACGTCGAGCTGAGTGATGGGCTCGGGCGGCCTCCGCAGGGATGAGCGGCCGCGTTGCGTTGGGAGCGCCGTTGCTAGGACACGGGGACACCTGGCAGGTGAGGGAGCTTGCGGCAGCGGCGGTGGTGGAGGATCCTGAATCCGCGACTGCTCGAATCCCGGACTCATTGCCTTGATCTCGCTCGTGTTTACGGTCAGGTGGAGTCGCGTGTGCGTGCGTGTTTTTGGTGAGCTGCACGGATGGGTGTTGGTGGTAATTGATGACTTCCCCGCTTGTGTTGTTTTAAGACCCCGCGGCGTCGTTTCCCACGGCCGCGTGCGCTTCGTGCGAGCGCCGCTCCGCTGACTGCGCCCCGCGGATCGTCCGCTTGGCTTGCGGCTTCTCGAACGCGACGGCTCCGCGAGTTGCAGATACTGAACAATGGGGAGGAGACGCGAGGAGGCTTTACAAATGAAATGTTGACTTCTGCACTAATAGTGAGTGGGGGCGTCTGAGTTAATCGCACTGTGCGCGTGAACCGGTGGAGGAGCGGTGGTGCAGCGGTTAGCGTCGCACTGCGCCCTGAAACCCGGCGAGCTAAATTGGAATCCCGGCCCCCGGCTGTCGTCAGTGGCGAGCGATGTCCACACCGGCCTTGACCAATCCTCCTCCACCTCTTTGGGTTTTTGTTTTACCCCACGCTGCTTAGCGTGGTGAAGTGTGATCAAACAATCCCCCCCCCCGTGATTGACACAGCGTGTGGAGATGCCTTCATCCAGCAGTGGATTGACAAAGGGCTCCGAGTTAGTATCAATGACGACGACGAATGTTATTTAGACGCGCCGAGTCGCGCTTCGCTGTCCACTGGGCACGGGGCGAGGTGACGACACCGCGAGTCGAGGGGCACGGGCAGCCCCCCCAGGGCAGCCCCCCCCCCAGGGCAGCCCCCACGGGCAGCCCCCACACGGGCAGCCTCAACGGGCAGCGGCTCTGCCGCGGCGTGTGGGGGGCTGTCCGCCTTCACTACCAGGCCACTCCGTCGTGTTCATGCCCTCGTGTTCATGCCATCGTGTTCATGCCCTCGTGTTCATGCCCTCGTGTTCATGCCATCGTGTTCATGCCCTCGTGTTCATGCCCTCGTGTTCATGCCCTCGTGTTCATGCCATCGTGTTCATGCCATCGTGTTCATGCCCTCGTGTTCATGCCATCGTGTTCATGCCCTCGTGTTCATGCCATCGTGTTCATGCCCTCGTGTTCATGCCATCGTGTTCATGCCATCGTGTTCATGCCATCGTGTTCATGCCCTCGTGTTCATGCCCTCGTGTTCATGCCCTCGTGTTCATGCCACCGTGTTCATGTCATCGTGTTCATGTCGTCCGCCGTTTGGAGGGGAGGGGGGTGCTGTCGTTTCTGCGTATGTCGTGAGACGCGTGGGACAGCGGTGTTGGGAACGGGGGTGGCGTTGGGGGGGGTGCGTTGGGGGGGGGGCGTTGGGGGGGTGCGTTGGGGGGCGTTGGGGGGGGGCGTTGGGGGGGGTGCGTTGGGGGGGGGGCGTTGGGGGGGGGCGTTGGGGGTGCGTTGGGGGGGTGCGTTGGGGGGGGTGGCGTTGGGGGGGGTGGCGTTGGGGGGGGTGGCGTTGGGGGGTGGCGTTGGGGGGTGGGGGGGGGGGGGGGGGGGGGGGGGGGGGGGGGGGTGGTTGGCGTTGGGGGGGTGCGTTGGGGGGGTGCGTTGGGGGGGTGCGTTGTCTGTCGCTGGCTCCAGGGTGACGCTCCGCAGCGAGTACCACGCGTGCCGATTCGCTGACCCCTACCCCGCATCAAACTTGTCACGTGTTAGGTGCTGGGTTGGAGGATCCAGGCTCCAGGTTGAGGAGGCTGCCTACTCCACTCCGGGGTGAGGATCCAGAATCCAGGCTCCAGGTTGAGGGGTTACTTTACTCCACTCCGCGGTTTCCAGTGTCCAGTCTTGGTGATGAAGACAACGCGTTGTCAGGTGGATTCAATGATCACGTGACGATGTGTTTTAAAATGGCGATGCTAATGTAGATGATGGTGTTGAAGATAACGATGCTGATTAGATGATGCGATGATGAAACAAGATGAAGGACTGCTCCTGGCCTTCATGAGCCGAGTTTCTCGTTAGACTGCAACCTCTCTCCCTTGTGTGTGCGGTAGATGTGCACGCGCGTGTGTCGTCTGTAGGTCTCCCATCGGTCGACTCAGCCTCAAATCATACCTGGTGTGTGTGTAGACATCATCACTGGGGAGAGATAAAGGCGGTGGCTCTATCCAGCATCATCCCCACTTGTGCCGTACCCGCCTTAAGTTTGTTGCATTTGTCACCAGCGACCCCCAGAGGGGAGTGGGAGCTATGCCCCCCCTCCCCCCCCCCCCATGGCGCTATGAAAAAGAGCTTTATAGCTCGTCGGATTCCTCCAGTATAAAGACATCATCCTGAAAGACTCCGATTCTGTGCGGGCCCTGTGCAGGGGTGGGGTACAGACCTACGGCCTGGAGCTCCCCACCAATACCCTGGACAGGGAGGAGGCGGGCAGCAGACGCAAAGTGACTTCGCGTTGACGCGAGCCACGATGTATTATTGACTCCGTGCACTCTCCACCATTAAAGCAACGTCCTAAGTACACGGCACGTCTATTATCCATATATCATAGATTACTAAATCTATAATAGATTACTAACGATGGACAACGGCGTCACTCGCGCAGGATTTTCAAACCGCGCCCTTTGCATGGTACTTTAAATGTACACGCAGAGTGCATTTCGAATTTACGTGAGAAAATTCTCTCTCATAATCATCTACATCACATCATAATCATCCACACCACGTCATAACCATCTACAACACGATATCCACAACACGTCATAATATCTACAACACGATATCCACAACACGTCATAATCATCTACAACACGATATCCACAACACGTCATAATCATCTACAACACGATATCCACAACACGTCATAATCATCTACAACACGATATCCACAACACGTCATAATCATCTACAACACGATATCCATAACACCTCATAATCATCTACAACACGATATCCACAACACGTCATAATAATCTACAACACGATATCTAGAACACGTCATAATCATCTATAACACGATATCCACAACACGTCATAATCATCTACAACACGATATCCACAACACGTCATAATCATCTACAACACGATATCCAGAACACGTCATAATCATCTACAACACGATATCTAGAACACGTCATAATCATCTACAACACGATATCCACAACGTCATAATCATCTACAACACGATATCTAGAACACGTCATAATCATCTATAACACGATATCCACAACACGTCATAATCATCTACAATACGATAACCACAACACGTCATAATCACTACAACACGATATCTACAACACGTCATAATCATCTATAACACGATATCCACAACACGTCATAATCATCTACAACACGATATCTACAACACGTCATAATCATCTACAACACGATAACCACAACACGTCATAATCATCTACAACACGATATCCACAACACGTCATAATCATCTACAACACGTATATCTACAAACACGATATCTACAAAACGATATCTACAACACGATATCTACAACACGATATCTACAACACGATCTCTACAACACGATATCTACAACACGATGTCTACAACACGATATCCACAACACGTCATAATCATCTACAAACACGATATCCACAACACGTCATAATCATCTACAACACGATATCCACAACACGTCATAATCATCTACAACACGATATCCACAACACGTCATAATCATCTACAACACGATATCTACAACACGATCTCTACAACACGATATCTACAACACGATATCTACAACACGATCTCTACAACACGATATCTACAACACGATGTCTACAACACGATATCCACAACACTGTCATTCATCAAGCGATAAATCCACGAGCTAAGCCCAAAGTATATCAACCGGAACAAAATATATATTTTCAACAACGCTTGGGGACTCCAGGACAGCCTTCCTGGAACCACGGGGACTGTCTACCTGGCATATTTGGTGACTTTAATTATCGGTTGCAGATATTACACACTGCATCCGTGATCATCGTAGAGGACCACAGAACTTGGACTATTTCTGGCAGTGGGGGCTCCTCGGGCTGCGTGGCTGCGGCGACCTTGACGCTCTGTCCGTGCTTCTGTCGGGAATGTGAGGGATGCAATTTGCATGAAGGACAACGATTCCATTATATAATCATATTCGGCTGTATTCAATCCAACGCTGACATCACTTCAGCTCGCCTGCATTTGTCTTCGACGACATTCCGTTAAGATGAGACTGCATTTAGAACATCGCAGCGGAGTAACATTTAGAATTCCGTTAAATGCCTGGCGGAATATCTTGTGGGGGCGTGGGGAGATCACCAGCATTATATCGGCGCGTGGGAGCCAAATGTAGTTCATCAAACAGCATCGCTCGAGCGGGGATTGGAATCCCGTGTCCTTCGCACATTCAGTTAACAATAACATCTCAGTGCAGGGGTTCGAACCGTGCCCAGCCGCTCAGAGGGCAGAGGTCGCAAACGGGTTTTGATTCCTTACCCGTACCCGTACGCGGCCGCACCAGGGTCGCAAACGGCTACCCGTAGCCGGGTATTGGGTAGGGTGCGGGTATCGGGTACTCGGTTGCGACCTCTGGCTCAGGGGCTGCTGTCATCACCCCCCCGCCCCCCCGCCCTAGAGTCTAAACAAAAGCTACTGACTGACGAGCATTGGAATGACTGAGATGAGACGGAAGACGCTGAGGCATTTAAGTGCCAATAAATGCGAATTCTCCGTGAGCACTCCGCCCCCCCCCCACTCGGCGAGGCGCCCCCACGCTGATTGAGTTTCCGCGCCCCGCACCCGCGGGGTCATTAGGGGCGTTAATTGAATTAGCTTTCCTCCTAATTGCTGCGTGTCCCATCCTCGAGTACACTTACCCCAATGTAGCCAAAGCCAAAGTCCTGCAACGCAAACGAGCATCGATGTATCGGCGCCCCCCCCCCCCCCCATTTATAGCCCTGCAGAGCCAGCGGTGGGGCATTCCACATTCCTATGACGGGGCGAGTCTATCCACAGCACAATGACTGCTGGCTTCCCCTACATAGCGGTGCTCATTTGCTCGCCCCCCCCCCCTACGGAGGGATGATGGGCTGAGTCACCCCCCCCCCCGCCCCCCCAAGCGAGATTGGAACTCCCCGCAGGCTTCCGAGCCGCTCGCTCGCTGCCCCCCGCGGGGGTCGCGCTGCCCCCCGCGGGGCCCTTCCCCGCACCTCCGACTAGCGCGGGTGGCTCCGTACGGTTGGTGCGAAAGGAGTTCAACACTCGTGCACACACCAGAATCACGACATTTATGAACACATCCCGGCAACTTCCCCTGCCGAGGCTTCTCATTGTTGCTGTTGTTGCTGTTTATTGTAACTCGCACAGCGGCAGGAGGAGGAGGATGCGGCGGCGCTTGAAGGGGTGCGGCGCTGAGCCGGCGGCCGCGCTCGCAGGAGGCCGCTACGAGCTGCTGGGGCCCCTGGGCCACGGCGCGTTCGGCCGGGTCCACCTGGCGCGCGACACCGAGGCCGCCGCAGAGGACGCCACGTACGTGGGTCCCCGCGGCCACCGCCGCCGCGGGTCGGTTTTGTCGCTGTTAGGACTCGTCAGCAGTCATCGGGCCATTGCTGGCCTCGTGCCCGACTCGCGAGACCTGGCAGAGGCAGCGTCACTGTGTGCACAGCGGAGCTAGTGCTCGAGTGGGCGGGGCTATGTATTAGTGGGCGGGGGCTATGTGCGAGTGGCGGGGCTCTGCGCGAGTGGGCGGGGCTATGTATTAGTGGGCGGGGCTATGTGCGAGTGGGCGGGGCTATGTATTAGTGGGCGTGGCTATGTATTAGTGGGCGTGGCTATGTACGAGTGGGCGGGGCTGACAGAGGGAGGGGGGAGTGGCTGGCAGCTGGCCACGTGTGGCCCTGTTGAGCCTCCCAAGTGTGGAGCAAACGTGTCCCTGCGACCCCAGCGTGGTGCTCAAGGAGGTTCCGCTTCGGGGGGCGGCCCCGGGGCACGAGGCGCGGGCCCTGGCCGAGGCGCGGCTGCTGTCCCGGCTCGGCCACCCGGCCGTGCTGCGCTTCCACGGCAGCTTCGTGCAGGACGCCAGCCTCTACATCGTGACGGAGCACTGCGAGGTGAGCCCACGCGGCGCCCCGCGTCCCACCCCACGCGCCCACAGAAGCATTAGCCCGCCCACTATCACATGGACACGCCCACATAAGCATTAGCCCCGCCCACTATCACATGGACACGCCCACAGAAGCATTAGCCCCGCCCACTATCACATGGACACGCCCACAGAAGCATTAGCCCCGCCCATTGGTCGGGTAGCCCCGCCCACCGTACAGGCAGCGCCTCCCTCGGCGGCTCCGTGAGTGGCGCTTGAAGACCAACATGCAGATGAGAACAACGCACCAGGCAGAGCCACCGCGATAGGCAGCTACAAGCCCGCATGACTACCCGCGATGAAGCGGGAGAGTTGGTAGCTTTATCTTAGGGATCAGGTGTCATGGTTCACACCTGCTTGGGGGCCGTCCATAAAAGACGTCACGCACCTGGGGGGGGGGGGGGGGGGGTCAGACATTTGTGACGATGTGTGACGAGGGGAGGGGTTGAGAAATGTGACGTCACGTAAAAATGCGAAACTTTAAAGCGATTTGAAGCATGTTTTTACTTTCAAGATGGAAATATGGTTTCGGGGGGGGGGGGGGTAGAGCTTTGTGACGTCATATTTGAGGGGGGTCAAAAATCGTCCAAAATGGCGTGACGTCATTTAAGTACGGCCCCTTAGTGTTCTCCCTGTCCATCGCCCCCCCTGTCCACCCCGTGTCCACCCCCCCCCCCCCCCGTGCACCTCGTGCCTCCCGTCCACGCCGCCGCAGGGAGGAGACCTGCACATGGCTGTGGAGAGGCGGCGCCAGGAGGGCTCCCAGTTCGCGCTGCCGCGCGTCGTGGAGTGGTTCGTCCAGCTGCTGCTGGGCCTGCAGCACCTCCACGACAGGTGGGGGGGGGGCCACCGACCCCGCGTGCCACGCTGGCGGCAAGGGCGGGGGGCAGCCGAGGAGGAGCCGAGCAGCGGCCGGCAAGGCAGAGGACGGCTGCGTTGGGGGGGGTCAGGGGGGGGAGCGTGCAGGATGCGAGCGCCATCCAGGCCCAACGCCGCTTAGCTTCCGAGATGTGCCGAGTGCAGGCGCAGTTGGGGCGAGGGCGCGCTGGAGGATATCGCTGCCCGAGGCTGTGAGGGTGGTGAGGCCAATGGCGAGGTGAACGACGATTCTCCCCCCCACCTCTCTCCCTCCACAATCGACGAGAGCTCCACTTAGTGACGTGAATTCATTCTTGCAAAGTGACGGTGGCGGTGCACGGAGAGGCAGGGGGAACACGGGGGGGGGGGGGCTGTCCCTGGGAAACACGGTCGCTGGCGATGCAGCTCCTTCCTGCTGCTGCTGCTGCTTGTCCCACAGAGAGGGCCACGTGCAGCTCTCCCCTGTGGTTTACGGCCGTTTTGTCGCACGCTGTTCGGTACGATGCCCGACGTTCCGGCTGCACGTGCTCGAAGCTCGTTCACTCGCTGAAGAACCGCTCCCAGCGGGTGGTGCGAAACGTCGCACATCAAAGCCGATCGAACGCGCGGCGCAACCCGAAAGCATTTCTCCCCACCCTACGTCTCTCCCCATCTCATGTCTCTCCGTCTCTTCATCTCTTCCGATCCCAAGTCTCTTTCCGTGCGTGTCTCTGTCTCTCTGTGTCTCTCTCGCGCAGGCACATTCTCCACAGGGACCTGAAGACGAGAAACATCTTCCTGAAGAGCGGCATGGTGAAGATCGGTGGGTGGCTGCATTGTGGGGCGTCCCGCGTGTCAGCGAATCGGCAAGCGTCGCGTCCGTCACCGTGCGGCGTGTGACGTGGACCTCGGCAGAGTTCCACACGCGCAGACAGCGAGCGCACGGCCGCGTGCGTCGCGACGCAGCGGGTAGCGCGCTGCCCTGCCAACAGCGGGGCCCCATCCCAGTTGGAGTCACGGCCACGGGTGACATTGAGCGCCCGCTGGAATGTCCGAGTCGGTCTCGGGGCACGCCCTTACAGCGGCCTCAAGTGGCCGCCTGGCGAAGTCCGGCCAAACATCTGCCATGGCCGAGGAGGCGTGGAGGGAGCCCTTCATCCAACAGTGGATTGACAGAAGACTGTAACATGTTCATGTAACATGTTCATGTAACATGTTCATGTAACATGTTCACACGACATGCATTCACGTGCACTAATGTCCGTTATGATATACTACACGTGACACGAGATTAACGTGTTAAGCGTAGTGCTGCGCACGCAGTGAACGTTCAGTTCATGTGAAGTGGCCGGGTGGCTGTACGGGGCCTGTGGATGTGACCTGAGACGTCGTTCTATGACGTCATCTTGCAGGGGCAAGATGACGTCACGGCGATCCACTGCTGGCTGCACGATTCCGAATGTCAATGCGTCTGGGGCGGGTTGTGGGTGGGGGGGGGGTGAGGAAGGGGGTGGGGGAGTGGGGGGCGGTAGAGAAGTGAATCAGACCTCGCGTCTCACGATTGCATGACGTGGGGAGCGTGGTGGAGGGGGCCCCTTCCCGTGGTAGCTGTCGGCTGTCCCCCACCATCAGTCCCCCCGCGCCTTGGAACTCCCGGCGACATTACCAAGCCCCCCCCGCCCCCCATCTCGCTAAACTCGCGGCGCGGCATTCGCTGAGGAAGCGGAGCAGCTGCTGCTGCTGCTCACGAACCCGGCGCCCGCTCGCCCGCTCGCTCGCTCGCCCGGAACGCAGCGAACGCCGCGCGCCTCCACCCCATAAACGCGCCCATAAATAACCCGTAATGAGCACGATTCGAAAGCCGATGGAGACAAATTCAATTTAAACGCAGATAAAATGAATGAGCTGATGTGTGCAGATGGGGCTGAGACCGGCGGCTCGGTTGGGTGAGTTGAGCGTGGCGGCGGCGATGGTGGTGGTGGTGGTTGAGGTGGTGGTGGTTTGTGGTATTGGTTGTGGTGGTAGATGGTGGAAGTTGTGGTGGCACGTATCTCCGGGGGAAGAGTGTCTCACTATAGCGGGGTCGGGAAGCGCTACACGAAGTTGCATGGTATTGAGTGGAATATCATCGCTGTTATTGTATGTGTGTTGAACTTCTTTCGTACCGTACATAGCCAACCGTACTAATCTAAGGTGCGGGGAATGCAACTGCCAAAAACCGGAGTCTTGAATGTGCTGGGAAGACTTGGAGATTTTCACCGGACGCTCCTGGGAAATCCAGAGCAGGTGGCAACCTTACGCACCGCTGGGATCCAGCGGTGCAGAGGCGAGGGTTGGTGGATCACGGAGAGATCTGTGAAACCCCCCGAAGCCCGCTGGGCTGCGATGTGGCCGGGCGTGGCAGCACAGCAAGCGGGACTGTGAAGCCGTCCACGTGAATCATCGCGTCGTGGGCTTCCTCACACGTGGAGCCTCACTCCCTCTCGCGAATGGAATTGGCCAAACATCCCGATGGAGCAAGGCCCTCCGGGAAACGAGCCATGAGAGGCTTTTCCGGGTACATGAACGGCCTTTCAATCAATGTCCTTCCATCTGCCCGTCTGCGTCGTGACATCTATGCGTCTGGACGTGAATCTGTCACATCTGCTTGTCTGTTTGGCCATTTGTCTGTAGGTAATTAGCCACTCGCGTGGATGTGTGTGTGTGTGATCCCCCCCCCCCGTACCCACCCACGTGACTGTGTGTGTGTGTGTGTGATCCCCCCCGTACCCACCCACGTGACTGTGTGTGTGATGCCCCCCCCACCCACGTGACTGTGTGTGTGTGATGCCCCCCACCCACCCACGTGACTGTGTGTGTGTGTGATGCCCCCCCCCCCACCCACGTGACTGTGTGTGTGTGATGCCCCCCCCCACTCACGTGACTGTGTGTGTGTGATGCCCCCCCCCCCACTCACGTGACTGTGTGTGTGTGATCCCCCCCGTACCCACGTGACTGTGTGTGCGTGTGTGATGCCCCCCCCACCCACGTGACTGTGTGTGTGTGATGCCCCCCCCCCACTCACGTGATTGTGTGTGTGTGTGTGATGCCCCCCCCACCCACGTGACTGTGTGTGTGTGATGCCCCCCCCCACTCACGTGATTGTGTGTGTGTGTGTGATGCCCCCCACCCACCCACGTGACTGTGTGTGTGTGTCTGGGCTCCGCAGGGGATTTCGGCGTGTCCCGCGTGCTGGCAGGGCCCGCGGACCTGGCCCTCACCTTCACGGGGACCCTGCACTACATGAGCCCCGAGGCGCTGCAGTGCAGGGGCTACAACTCCAAGTCCGACGTCTGGTAGGGTCCGTCTCGTCACATCACCTGGCTGCCCATCTCTAACTCTGTCCGTGTACATCTGTTCGTCTGCCCATTCATCCGCCTCCCTGTCCGTACGGCTGTGGGTACGCGTGTCTGTCCGTCCGTCCGTCTGTGCATCTGTCTCTGTACGTCTGCCTGTCGTGTGTTTTGTATTCTCTGGATCGTAAGCAAAAGTTGGGAGCTTACAATCCGATAGGTGGGTGCGTGCGAGGCCACATCTCTTCTGAGCTATTGACACGTGGAACAGTCGACGTTTGGGGTGCGTCTCACGATGTGGACAGCACGAACCTGCGTCGCTTTCCTGCGCGGGTGTTCACCCCCCCTCCTCCCCCCCCCCGACAAATCGGCCTCTCGCGCGCAGGCGAGCAGAGCCGTCGATTGACACTCAAAACAAACTGTAAGGAAATATAAAATTAGACATTTAAAACACGACGACGATGAATATTAATCTTATTATTAGACCGCTAGATGGAGGTCACGGGGGGTGCGCATTCGGTTCGACGCTCAGCGCTAAATCAGAGCCCTTAATTACTCATCACACATTGGCGTTGGCGTCCAATTTGCGAACGAGGAGGAGGTTGGAGGGACGACGCACGCGAGGAGGTTGCTGACGAGGGGCGGTGATGGACGGGAGGGTCTGGCAGTGACTCGAGCTTAATACCACACTCACTCACTCACTCACACTCACTCACACCCACTCACTCACACCCACTCACTCACACCCACACACACTCACTCACACTCACACACACTCACACTCACTCACACTCACTCACACTCACTCACACCCACTCACACCCACTCACACTCACTCACACCCACCCACTCACTCACACCCCAATCCACATCCCACACCCACTCACACCCACTCACTCACACCCCAATCCACAACCCACTCCCACTCACTCACACCCCAATCCACACCCCACTCCCACTCACTCACACCCCAATCCACACCCCACACACACTCACTCACTCACACCCACTCACACCCCTATCCACAACCCACACACACTCACTCACACCCCAATTCACACCCCACACACACTCACTCACACCCCACACCCACTCACTCACACCCCAATCCACAACCCACACCCCAATCCACAACCCACACACACTCACACCCTACACCCACTCACTCACTCACACCCACTCACTCTCACTCACTCACTCACACCCACTCACTCACACCCAACACCCACTCACTCACACCCCAATCCACAACCCACACCCCTATCCACAACCCACGAGAGAGAGAGTTAATCAATGAGTGAATACGTCGAATAATCATTTGTTTAGTCATTAAAATGATTAAATCAGTTAGTCAATCAATGAGTCTATCGGTAAGTCAGTCAATTAGTCGATCAATGTCTTAATTAAGTGAACGAGAGCGTAAGTCAGCGAATCGGTGAACTGCAGAAACGAGTCACGCGATCAGCGACGCACTCGACGACTCAACCATCGTCAATGGCAAGATGAGCAGGACAGCCAGCTAACCAATCAGCCACTCGGTCAACGGCCAGCTAACCAATCAGCCACTCGGTCAACGGCCAGCTAACCAATCAGCCACTCGGTCAACGAGTCCATCAATTAGTCGTCAACCAACCGGCCAATTATCGCGCGTCTCTGGCGCGTGAGACGTACACGGAGCGCTCGCGCGGCCCACCGCTCTCTGCACGCGCAGACAAAGACGCCCCCCGCCCCCCCCCCCCCCCCACGTGCTCCACGCGGGCGTCTTTGTCTGCGCCTTCTTCAGCACGAGCCGTGCGCTGTGCGAGGCGGTCGGGTCTGAGACTTAAACCGCCCCCCCCCCCCACTCTGTACCTCCCCATGGACACCCCCCCCCTCCTTCCCTCCCACCCCGAATAACAACACAACGAACCCCCCCCACCCCACTCCCCACCAACCGCACACCCAGCCCATCCGGCGTCAATGTCAACAGCAAGCCTCGTTCTCATCTGCCGTGGTCAATCCACTGCTGGATGAAGGCCTCCTCCTCTTCCGCAAGCCGCCACCGCCGCCTCCCATCACGGCCGTGCAGTGTGACGATCCACCCGGCAGCAGCCGATCTGCACGCCAGCTCATTCCATCACTCCATCTCCTCGGGCGGTCGTCATCTCGCGTGGGATGCATTCCACCCCTTGTCTGCCACTCCGTTATCATTCTCGACCATGGGCCATAAACAAAGTGAATAACAACAACAACAACGTGACCAACACGGGACCCCACGTTCTGGCAATTGTGTCAGTCCACTGCGAGATAAACCCTCCCGTGGACCCCCCCCCAAGCTTTACTCGTCACGAATGCCAACATTCGTGCTGCTGGATGAGGGCCTTCCATACGCACGCCGTGCGGGTCGTTGGCTCCATGAAGAAGAGCCATTGCCCGAAACGTCACCTATCAAATTTCCGTTCAAGACGACTCGCGCGCGGCGTTATTGACGAGCGTGTTGAGAGATAGTTTTTTGTCACTGTGCAACAAGAATGGCCTAAATATCAACTTCACTTCATCATCATCATCACCAATCTCATCATTCGTGTTCACCCATCCCAGCGCTCTCCAGGCTAGACCTTGCTTTTGCTTGCGTGATTGTGCGTGATGATTGTGCGTGATGATTGTGCGAGATGATTTTGCGTGATGATTGCGTAATTGTCATGATGATTGTGCGTAATTGTGCATGAATATGCGTAATGATTTGTGCATAATTGTACATGCTGTTTGTGCGAGATGATTGTGCGTAATTGTGCGTGACGATTGTGCGAGGAGGTTGTGCTGCAGGCTGCTCACTCGCAGCAGGAGCAGCTGCAGCAGCTGCTGCAGCTGCTGCAGCAGCAGCAGGAGCAGCAGCAGCAGCAGTGCAAGGGCTGTCACGGCGCTCGCCGTGCAGCTGCAGAGTCAACTCGGGGATCTTAGTCACCTCTTTGTGCGTGGCTCTCTCCCCTCCCCTCTGCCTCCTCCTCATCCTCCTCGCTTGTTTGATTTGGTGGGGGGATTGGAGGTCTCGGTGTGGGATCGTCGTGGTTGATTTAGGGATTTGTCACCGCTCGAATGTGCGCGCCTCCTCTTAATGAAACCGGCGGGGAGACTGAGCGGGAGGGAGAAGGCCGCGAGTGGAGTGCGGAGTGGAGACGCCGGGTTTCAGGAATCTCCCCTCTCGCTCGCTCGCTCGCTCTGTGTGTCCGTGTCTGGGGGTCGCGGGGAGAGACATCTGTGGGTAGCGAGTGTCAGTGCCGGTAACGGCGTGCGGGGTTACTCATTGACAGGGCAGAGGAGCGACGCGCGCGTTACAGTCATGGGCGCGGTAGCGCGTCCACCCCCGCATGGCTGGTGGAGCCCGCGAGATGGTGGGTGAGTGGGTGGTGGAGTGAGCGGGCGAGTGAGTGGGTGGTGGAGTGAGCGGGTGAGTGAGTGGGTTGGTGAGTGGGTGGTGGAGTGAGCGGGTGAGTGAGTGGGTGGGTTGGTGGGTGGATTGGTGAGTGGGTGGTCGAATGAGTGGGTGAGTGAGTGGGTGGGTTGGTGAGTGGGTGGTGGAGTGAGTGGGTGGGATGGTGAGTGGGTGGGCTGGTGAGTGGGTGGTGGAGTAAGTGGGCGGGTGAGTGGGTGGGTTGGTGAGTGGGTGGTGGAGTGAGCGGGTGAGTGAGTGGGTGGTGGAGTGAGCGGGTGAGTGAGTGGGTGGGTTGGTGGGTGGGTGGCGGAGTGAGCGGGTGAGTGGGTGGGTTGGTGAGTGGGTCAGTGGGCGCACCCGCAGTTCCACTCTCAGACAAAACCAACGAACGGTTGCATCACCGACAGTGGAATCTCTCCACGCGTCGCTCTTCCCCGGCCACGCGAGACAAGAGGAGTGCCCCCGCCCCCCCCGCTCACGTGACCGGCGCCTGTCCCGGGGGCATGGAGCGAGGCGTCTAATGGGGCCGCCCGCATGCCGCTCACGCGGGCGGCAGCCGGGCGCGCTCGCCGCGGGAATCGCGGCCGCCGCTGTGCGCGGACGGTGTTTACCCCACAGACAGATCTAGCGCGATCGACTGTGATGTCTGGCAATTGATGCGAGTGTCTGTGTCTGTTCACTGCTGCTCGTGCCATGGCGATGCGTGTGCCTGTCCGTGTGTGTGTGCGTGGGGAGCGGTGGTGTCGCGGTTAGCGCACTGCGCTACGAACCTGACGACCCGAGTTCGATTCCCGCTCAACACCAGTGACGATTATCTGAACCGGTTCTGGGCCTCCCCTAGGTCGACTCAGCCTCAAATGAATACCTCGTGCGATGTGTAAAAATCGCCCACTGGGGATACAAAGGCGGCTGGGCGTGGTGTTGGCCACCCACCCCCTCGTGTGCCGTACCGGCCTTCATAGGTGCTCGCTAACAGCACTTGCCCTAATATTCTGTTAAGGCTATGAGGGATTTTTATATTTTTGATGATATATGTGTGTGTGCGTGACGATGTGTGTGTGTCACTGTGTGTGTGTCACTGTGTGTGTATGACGATGTGTGTGCGTGTGATGATGTGTGTGCGTGTGATGATGTGTGTATGTCACTATGTGTGCGTGTGTGCGTGTGTGACGATGTGTGTGTGGCGATGTGCGTGCATGTGACGATGTGTGTGTGTCACTATGTGCGTGTGTGTGTCACTGTGTGCGTGTGTGTGTCACTGTGTGCGTGTGTGTGTCACTGTGTGCGTGTCACTGTGGGGAGCGGTAGTGTAGCGGTTAGCGCGCTGCGCTATGAACCTGGCGACCCGGGTTCGATTCCCGCTCACGGCTAACACCAGTGACGATTATCTGAACCGGTCCTGGGCCTCCCCTAGGTCGACTCAGCCTTAAATGAGTACCTGGTGCGGTGTGTAAACATCGCCACTAGGGAGACAAAGGCGGTCGGGCGTGGTGCTGGCCACCCACCCCCTCGTGTACCGTTCCGGCCTTCATAGGTGCTCGCTAACAGCACTTGCCCCTACAGTCTGTTAAGGTTATACGGGGGATCTTTGTCTTTGTATGACGATGTGTGTGCGTGTGATGATGTGTGTGCGTGTGATGATGTGTGTGTGTGTGATGATGTGTGTATGTCACTATGTGTGCGTGTGTGACGATGTGTGTGTGGCGGTGTGCGTGCATGTGACGATGTGTGTGTGTCACTGTGTGCGTGTGTGTGTCACTGTGTGCGTGTGTGCGTCACTCTGTGTGTGTGTCACTGTGTGCGTGTGTGTGTCACTCTGTGTGTGTGTCACTGTGTGCGTGCGTGTGTCACTGTGTGCGTGTGTGTGTCACTGTGTGTGTGTGTCACTGTGTGCGTGTGTGTGTCACTCTGTGTGTGTCACTGTGTGCGTGCGTGTGTCACTGTGTGCGTGTGTGTGTCACTCTGTGTGTGTCACTGTGTGCGTGCGTGTGTCACTGTGTGCGTGTGTGTGTCACTGTGTGTGTGTCACTGTGTGCGTGCGTGACGATGTGCAGGTCTCTGGGCTGCGTGCTGTACGAGCTGTGCGTGCTGGAGGCCGCCTTCACGGCGCGCAGCTGCGTGGCCCTGGCCTTGCGGATCACCCAGGGCCCCACGCCGGCCCTCCCCGCCTCGCGCCCAGCCGCCCTCAACGCCATCGTGCAGAGGTCGCTGCCTCTGACCCCGCACGGCCTCACCGCGTGACCTTCCCCCGTCTATCTCGGGGCCTCACCTCGCCCGGTTCGGACTCAATGGCGATTCTATTCACTCCGCTGACCAACCAGAGTTGGCTCTGTCTGTAACGAGGGGGGGTGGGGGGTCAGGAAAACTCCCGTGGAGTTCATTCGATGCGAGTGAAACTTTGTCGTGAAGTTGCGCTGCTTGTGGGCACTCAAGCCCTGGAGAAACCCAGGCAACATCGATCGCAGAGTCATTGCCTGGCCACGTGGAGCCTAATCGCCTCCTGCTAAGACGCCATCGCGATTTGTCGTGACGGCCCCCCCCCGGCTCCCCCCCCCCCCCCTCCGCCGCTGACGAATCTCTCGCAAAGACGACGATCTCGCGCCCGGGAAGCCGCGCGCGCGATCGTCCCCGATGTCGCTCGGAGGAGCCCTCGCACGCGACACTGAGACGCCGCGTGCGCTCGGCCCGCAGGATGCTGAGCAAGGAGCCCGAGGGGAGGCCGTCGGCCAGCGACCTGCTCCGGGAGACGATCGTCGAGAGCGCCATGCAGGTGCCGAGTCGCGCGAACTCGCGGAGAGCGGCGCGGTGCGGCCTCGCTCGTTACGATAGAGACGTTGTTGATGTTGATGATGTTGCCCGCTTCGGTGAGAAATGGGAATCTTCATTGCCAGGTTGTTGTTGTGTTGTTGTTGTTGTTGGGTTTCATTGTTCTCTTCCGTAAGCGAGGAAAAGCGTGCAGGTCTCCGCTAAATGATTGCCTGGGTCACCTTGAAACGGACCGGAGTAGACGTTGCGTTCTGCTCGCCACGGCGAGAGGAGGTGTCCTGGGCGCGGCGCGGGACCCCCTGGGTTGTGAGTGGCCACGTGGAGCGCTCACCGAGTCGCCCTGTCGCCTCCCCAGGGACTCCGGGACAAGCTGAGCGCGCTGACTGCCAGCGAGGGCGCCGAGCGCGGGTGAGTGGGGGGGGGCTTCGCACGTCTCTCTCGGCCCATTACCCGGGGCGGTTGCCACCTCTGAGATCCGGGACGCATCACGAGACAGAGGAACATCTCACAACAACCGGGACTTGCGGCAGTAGCAGCACCAGCAGTAGTAGCATCAGATTGGATGAGTTCAGACGCCTTCCGGTTGACTTGATCACGGGCTTTAATGAAATAAATCATCCACACCGCAAACATCGGCACCCACGCGCACAATCTTGCATTCGTGCAGATCTCGTGCAGTCTGACCGCGTCATCGTGAACGCGTGTTTGTGAACGCGTGTTTATACCACGTGGGAGGATTGACGGCGCATCGGTCCGGGCACCGCCGCTGCGAGCCCAGGAACCTGAGTTCGATTCCTGGCCACGACTAAGCCCCCTCCCCCACGTCACCAACCCGCACTGAACCAGCGTGGCGAAGTATGGCCAAACGACCTCCGTGGTCTGCGCGGCGTGGGGAGGAGGCCTTCCCTCGGCATTGGCTCGGCAGACAGAGGGCTGTAAATGATTGTTGATGTTTATTTATAGAGCAAGGTGGCTATTCGGTTTGAGAATTGGATATGAATTTTTAATTTGTCGCAGACACTCAATTCCTGGGCGCGGGCTACTTAGCGCCGCTGTCTCCGATCGCATCAATTCGCCGAATCCATTTCCGCGAGTTCACGCGGAGACGACGACAGCCTCCACAGGCGCGGGGGTAATGCCCCACGCGCACGCGCACGTGTGCCCCGTGGCGGCCACCGAGGAGATGGAGCGACGAGATCGGCTCGTGAGCGGGGTGCTGTGCGGATCGTTACCGATAGCAGGAGCACGAGAGGTGGTGGCGACTGCTCGCAGAAGGCCTTCATCCAGCAGTGGATCGATCATGGATGGTGATGATGACGATGGTGACGATGGCTGGGGGTGAATGGGCGAGCGTGTGGGAATGTAACCCGGGTCGGTTCACATCGCGACGGCTGAGTACACACGGACGCGTCCCCAGGTCACCCGGGTTCACGCCTCTCCAGGGGTTTAGCGCGGCGTAAGCCGCCAACAGCGCCCTACGAACCAGGGCCACCCGAGTTCGATTCCCGGCCACGGCTAACAGCGGCGGCGAGTCTGCATCTAGACCCGCCCCCCCCCCCCCCCAACGCGTCCCGTCTTCACGAACCCCACGTTGAGCAGCTCGGTGAAGCGAGTTCAAAGAACCCCCCCGTGACCAACGGGCAGGGCGCGGGGAGACCTCCACCCCCCCCACCCCACCCCCGCATTCATTCAGCAGCGGATCAACAAAAGGGGGGAGGTGGGGGGGGCGCACTCAATAAATCCGCAGCAGAAAAATCTCGCGCTCGTTTCTCCACTGCACCGGTGGTAATTAGCGCGACCTCCACACGCCTCGCGCACATTAGCGGGGGGCGTGCTCACCACCACGCTCACCACCACGCTCACCACCACGCTCACCACCACGCTCACCACCGCGCTCACCACCGCGCTCACCACCGCGCTCACCACCGCGCTCACCACCGCGCTCACCACCGCGCTCACCACCGCGCTCACCACCGTGTTCACCACCACGCCGTCACCCTAATCGGCCCAGTGAGGAGCGAGAGGATACGCGGCTGAGTGACTTGCGGCAATGAGCGCCGCTGCTGCCGCTGCTGCCGCTGCTGCCGCTGCGCGGTGCGTGGGTTGCCTCCCGCCCTGGGCGCGCGTCGCGCCGAGGAGGAGGAGGGGGGGAGGGGGGAGGAGGGGGGAGGGGGAGGGGGGGAGGGGGAGGGGGAGGGGGGGAGGGGGAGGGGGGGTGGAAAGGTCTCGCGCCGCAGCGCACGGGGCCCGACCCCGCGTTTATCGGTGACATTTTCAGATGCAGCCGCGGCCACCCAGGGACGGGAGGGGGGCCTGGCGCGGCGGGAGGCGAGGCCGAGGAGGAGGAGGAGGAGGGTGATGGTGGTGGTGGTGGCGGGACGTGGGCGAGTGCCGAGAGCGGGGAGGGCGATCGCGCGCTCCGAACCAAGTGAGACAAATCGCCTATCTCGCCCCCCACCACTCAACCCTCCCCTGATCCCCCCGCCCACCACCCACTTGCACGCCCCCCCCCCCCCCCCGGATCCCTTCTTCTCCCCCTTCCCCAGGGTGCGTTCTGCACACACGCCCGGCTGTCCTTTAATGTTTGTGAAAAAGGATGCGGGTTGCGCCGCGCCAGGAATCGGAAGCTCCCGCAAATTCCATCCCCACGGCGATCGCGGCTCCACCGCTTTCAGCACGCCAAGTGCCGCTCCATTAGCCGCCTCCTCCTCGCCGCTGCTGCTGCGTCGCCAGAATCTCGAAGCCGCAGCTGCAATGGGCCTCTTGCCTGCAGTTTGCAAACAGAAATCATCATCATCGCAACAATGCGGCGAGCGGAACATTTCATTCCGAACTCGCCGAGCAGGACGCACGCTCAGCCCGGTTGGTGTGGGTCGACGGCCTGGAAATAAAAAAATAAATGTCCACAGCGGCACCCCACATCCAGAATGCATCTCGCTCCGACCGTGACCGTGGCTACTTGCAGTCACGTGCCACCTACTGGGCCCTACCGGCGGCACAATTGTCCCGGGGTTGAGAGCTCTGCCCCCAGCGGTGCTGGAGTGGACGTCTGGAGCGCGCTGCCGCTACTTCTACTGGTAGCCTGCAGCGGCACGTGGTGAAGCGGTAGCCGCAGGGAGAGAGGGGGGCACTGGACGTGGTGTGCGGAATGATATATTGCTGTATCTGGGTCGCCCCCCTGATGACGAAGCCCCTGGGGCCATCGCCAGAGGAGGCCTCCACGGCGCCAAGAGCCGCCCCGGGACACCCGCGGAGCGCCACTCGGCACCACTCGGCGCCACCCGGCGCCACTCGGTGCCACTCGGTGCCACTCGGCGCCACTCGGCGCCACTCGGCGCCACCTGCCCCAACCCCGCGCTGTCCGCGAGCTACCCCGGTGGGCACGGCCGAGATCCCCTCCAAGATAACGGGGGAACGTAAAGGCGCAGCCCTGCAAGTGCTCGCTCGGGCCCCCTTCATGCGGAAGGGGTCTCCACCACGAGGGGAGCTCGAGAGAGCCACGCTCCGTGCGATCTCCGCCGTAGCCCGCGGCGGTGGCGGTGCGGGGGGGGGGGGGCACTGGGATCGCAAGACTCCTGCCGCCACCGCCGCCGCCGCTGTTGTTACCACTGCCGCGCCGCGAGATGGACTCGAGCCTGGCGCCCTCTGAGCTGCAAGCCCAGATCGCTGCCCCCCGTTCCGCCGCCGCAGCACCAGCAGGAGCATCGCCTTTTACAATAAAGGGGGGCTCGGGAGGGGGGGGTAATCCATAAATAGTGAGCGGGGCTCTACACGACACGGCGACGAGTGGACACTTGGTGGGAGCGGCGATGGGAGCCACCACCGGGACCTGAGATTGTGTCTCTTTCTCTTCCTCGAGCCGCGAATCGATCGCCCCACCTCCTTCCCCCCCCCCTCCTTCCCCCCCCCTCTCCTTCCACCTCTTCCCCCCCCCTTCTCCACCCCCCCCCTCCTTCCCCCACCCATCCTGCCCCCCTCCTCCTTCCCCCCTCTTCTCCCCCCCCCTTCTCCCCCCACCTCCTCCCGGCGGGGGCCTCTCTCTGCCTCCGCCGCCCCCGTCTCGCAGGCTCGACGCGTCCCCCGTGCGCGTGGGCAGCGGGGGTGGGCGAAGCGAGCGCCGGGCACTCCCCCCCGAGCAGCAGGAGTACTCCACCTCCTCCTCTACCTCCTCCTCCACCTCCTCCTCCACCTCCTCCTCCACCTCCTCCAGCCTCGTGAGCCCGCACGGCACCACTCATCCCAGCCCTCCCCCGCCCCCTTTGCTTCATCACGAGCCGCGCTCTTGATGACGAGGTGTTCACTGGCGTCGTTAACACAAACGGGGGTGCCCTCGTTAGCGCTGTCATCATCATCAGCATCACAATGCAGATATCATCATCATCATCATCACAATGCAGATATCATCATCATCACATCGTTAACGCTAATGTAAATAGCATATATAATCATGCCCACAATTATCACCATCATCACTACCACCACCACCATCACACCACCATCATCACTACCATCACTACCACCACCACTGCTGTCATCGTCGTCGTAAGAATCGAAAAATCGTCATCGACAATGGGGGCGGAGCCCCCCTCGGGCTCCCCCATGCCACGGACTCGGGGACACAAACAGCCGGGGACACAAACAGCCGGGCACGGCGGTCGCCCATCCAAGCGCTACCCAGGCCCAGGCCTGCTTAGCTTCTGGGACCTGATTTGTTGTCGTTTCTCAGTCGACGCGTGGCGGTAGCCGATTAGTCCGCGGATATCGCGCGCCGGGAGCGCGGTCACAATCGCGACCTTGGGCCGGCCGAGCGCCGGTGCCGGGGCAGCCACGTGGAGCCGCAGCTCCCGGCTCGCGACTCCTGCGAGCGGCCGGCCGGCGTCGATGACACGCGCGGCACGCCGGGGTGGGACGCGACTCTCGCTGCTGCAGAAGCAAAACGGCGGCGACCGAGAGCGCCCTCGGTCGGATTGAGTTCCACTCCGGTGGCAGCACGGACTGTGGGGGATCAGGGGCCGGTGGCGCGTCGAGGGTGCGAGGAGACGCCCTCCTTGGATAGCGCGGTTAGGGAGGAGGGCGCCTCTCGGGACATTCGCGTGAACGAGGAGGTGCCGCGGATCGGCGGGTACAGCAGCAGCAGCAGGAGGAGGGATGAGCTCCGGGTGCCGGAGCGACGCGGCTCTCCGTGATTGTCCCGTGCGACATGGCGAGACGCCGGCGAGAGACATCGTGGGCCCCGCGTCTCACTGGCACGGACACACACAGACACACACAGACACACACAGACACACACAGACACACACAGACGACGCGTGGAAACATCGTCACGCAGACGCACAGACACGTGGAGACACGTGGACACAGCTATGCGGAGACACGGACACGTGGACACAGCCACACAGGAACCCAGCCGCTTAGCGGCGCCTGCTCCGACCCGCTACATTACCCGTGATGCTCCACGACAAGGCATCACGAGCTCGCGCACTAAATCACATTTCGCGTTGAACGGGGCCCTCTTTGGTTTCGATGGAGCGCTCGTGCCAAATGACGTCTGGCATTTACTTAACAAACCCGACTGGTGACGAAGCTCAGACGAATGACACCCGCTCTGAGCTTTTGCTCGCCCAGACAGCTGCTGCCCGCGGCGATGTCTGTCCGGAGAGCCGGCAGCGGTCGACTCGAGCTGTCGTCTTCATTCGTGGAGGCACGCGACGGGCTGCTGCTGCTGCTGCTCGAATTCATGAATACATCAAGATTCTGATTCTGATCTCTCATCACCCACGATGCCGCGCACCGACGCGTCGTGAGTTCCGGGCAGAGAGAGAAGTGGGAGAGCGAGCGAGCGAGCGATCGAGCGAGGGGTTGGTGACCCTCTTCTCGCCAACCCTTGGTCACCTCCATTGTCTGCGAGCGCCTATCACTGCTTGCCGCCCGTCTGTCTGTCGGCGAACATTCTTAGCATTGCGGCTGTCGGGAGCGGAGTCGGTTCGCGGAGACGACGAGCGCCGCGTGCTGACTTTGCCCTTTTGGGAAATTACCCGGCACGTGCCGACGGAGAAAGCCGCCTGATTAATTTATGCGCCAGATGTACGTTTAATTGACAGCTTTAAGCGCGAGAGCGAGCGGGAGAGAGAGAGAGAGAGCGAGAGAGAGAGAGAGCGCTGCTCGTTTCGCGTCTCCCGCGCCGCGGCTGCCGTGGTGCGGGAGACGACGCGGGAGACGTTGGCTAAACGTGCGCGTGGCCGCGGCTGTTCCCGCGGCTTGTGAGGCGGCGCAGCGCCACTTAGGACGCCGAGCAGCGCGGCACCGATGTGGGGATTCAATATCCATGCCCCCCCCCCCCCCCCCCCGGCGGCGCACCTTTCTCCCCGCGCCCCTCTCCCCACGCCTCTCTCCCCGCGCCTCTCCCCGCTCCTGCAGGAGGGCGGTGTCGGCGCTCTGCTCGACTGCCTGCGAGGAGCGCTGCGCGGGAGCACGAGGGGTGAGCGACCACGAATCCGCCGGAATTCACGCGCGCCCTCACTCGTGTCTCTGGGCGCCGCCGTTCGGGAGGAAGATGCAGCGTTAAAGCCCCCCCCACACCCCCCCCCCAGCGCGTCTACTGCAAAGTGAGACGAGCAAACCGGGCGCGTGCGAGTCGACTGTACCCACCCGTGCCACCCTGGTCCCAAATCTGAACAACTGTGCCAACCTCGATCCAAAACGCGGCCCCTGCTCTGCTGTGGCCGCCGCGTGCGGCTGCGGCGGCGACTCGGAGCTGGAGGTGCCCGAACGAGAGGCCGCGGGGGTCTCTGGGGCTCGAGGCGCTGCCCCGCCTCATCTCCTCCTGCGACCGTGAAGACGAATTCACGAGTTGTGGCGCTCTCCCCGCCCCCCACTCGAATCCTCCACGGGCACCCCTTAGCTTCTTGACACGGACTCCCCCATGACTTCCCCCAAATAGAAAATACCTGCACCCCCCCCACTCCCCTCCCATCCCACACAGCGGGGGCGGACGACTGTCACGTTACCCCCCTCCTTCATTTACCCTCCTCCCACCCCTCTCACCGTTCCAGCCAAAATCTCATTTCCGAAAGCGCCATCGCCTTCCTTGCCACCACGGGGAACGTTTCTCATTGTATTTGATTCGCTGTCACCATCGCCAAGGGCCCCAAAGCGCCAAGCGGCCAGCAACAAACGGCACAGAGAGGGATCCCACCAGGTTCCCCCGCGGCTTGGAGCAAATGCGGGAGCGCCCCGCCCCCCCCCCCCCCCCCCCCCGGCTGTTGATGTCGCGCGGCGTCCCCGGGCCACGTGGCTTGGGGGGCCCCCGGGGCCACGTGGCTTGGGGGGCCCCCGGGGCCACGTGGCTTGGGGGGCCCCCGGGGCCACGTGGCTTGGGGGGCCCCCGGGGCCCGCCCGGCTCCGCTGGCGCGTAGCCCCCGCGCCGCGCGACTGCGTTTAGGGCGCGGCGGAATTCCCGGAGAAGGAGGAGGCACAATGGGAGAGAGGACACAGAGAGAAAGAGATGGAGAGAGAAAGAGAGCGAGGGGGAGAGAGTGGGAGGGGGCGAGAGTGGGAGTGAGACGGAGAGAGAGGGGGAGAGACACTCGCTTCGTGGGTCCCCTTAGCTCCGTGATAGATTCTCCCTTTTCCCCATCGCGTGCTTACTCTCTCCGTCTCTCTCTCTCGCACGCTCTCGCTCTCTCTCGCTTTCTATCTATCGCTCGCTCTCTCTCTCTCGGCAAAATTTGCAGGGGAATTGTGCCGAAACAAAGTGGCCTCGTTTGCCGAATTCCTCGGGGGACGCGCGAGGCGGAGGGCGCACGGCCCCTCTGTCCCCGGCCACAATCAGAAAAGAACGAACCGCGCTCGTTTGCCGGGGAAGAGATGTCTCAGTGTCTCGGCTCGAACTGGGGGGGGAGACGGGGGTGGGGGGATAGAGTGGGCGGTGGGGGGGGGGGTGTGGATTGAGTGGGTGGTAGGGGAGGTAGATCGACCGACGTGGATGTGTGTGCGTGACCCCCCCGCCCTGACCCCGCCGTGACCCCGAGGGTGGCACGGATCGGCTGTGCGCCCGTGACCCCCACGAGTCGGCCTTGCTCGGGCGGGGGGCGCGAGGGGGGTGCGAATGTAACATTTCTTAAAATATTGCCTGTCGTTAATTGACAGCTCCATTCCAAAGGAATTGAAGAACGGGTCTCTGTTTTATCCAATTCTGAAGCAGCCGTCCATAGGTTAAGAAATGCGATATTTTTTGGCTGCCACGATCTAATGAGAATCGCTGTGTCACACTGCGCGCCCGTGACGTTATTATTTAATTCCGCCCGGTGTTTCTCTCCGTCTTCTTTTTTTGCGAGACGCTGCTGCAGCCACGGCGACGGACCACGGGGGGGAGCACGGGGGGGAGCACGGGGGGGAGCACGGGGGGGGGCACGTGGACGCCCCGAGCCCCCCCTCCCCGCTCACGGACACGGATAACTCGTGAGTCTCTGCTGCTGCTGCTGCTGATCCGTGGAAGCGCTAACGAGGACGAGGGCGGCTCTGAGGTCGCTTTAAAAGCGGGAGGGATGCAGCCCCCCCACCCGCCACTCCCCCCCTCCCCCCTCCCCCAGCCGCTTCTGTGCACCCAGCAGCATGAATCGTGTCCACAGTCCCGTGTGTTGGGGTCAAATGTGGGTCGTCGCTACTTTTCCAAAACGTCTGGCCACGTTGATTCCACAAACCCCCCTGATCATCAAATCTTCAATCGAACCGGCATCACAGTGTGTTCACTCGTTTGCATCGCTTCTGTATCGTCTGGCCCCATACATTTTCTCTGCTCTATGAACCTTGATGGAATATGAGCATCATCAGCCATTATCCATCCACTGCTGCATGAAGGCCTCGCCAAGCCGTCACTGGCGGTCCTATGACGCAACAAAGCGCGTGGCTCCGCCGCTTGAGCCGATCCATGCGAACCAGAAAGAGCTGCACCTCACGGAGGGATCGATCCACGCATCGCGAGCACGCGGATCTATCGCAGTCGATCAATGTCACCATTAGGCCTTCGTCACTCACCGCACGAGGCAGGGACGGGCAGTGTCGGGTTGCGGTGCGGTAATGGTGCGGTGTGGCAGTGTGGTGCGGTGTGGCAGTGTGGTGCGGTGTGGCAGTGTGGTGCGGTGGTGCGGTGGTGGTTGTGCGGCTGCGATGCGATATTGAACGGTGACGTCGACACGTGCCGGATCGCAGGCTCGGCGCGCCGCGGTGGCGTCCGTGGGAGGGGGGCACCGGGGGAGGGGAGCACCAGGTGAGGGGGGCACCGGGGGAGGGGGGCACCGGGGGGGCGTCGCGACCGGCGACGGGCGGACGGGACCCGGGGGCCATCGACTCGGACGCCCTCGACTCGGGGGAGGGCCCCACGCTCCGGGGAGACGACCCCACGGACTCCTCCTCTTCTGCCGCCGCTCTCCTACAGCTCCTCTTCCTGCAGAAGCTCAGCCTCACCCTCGACTCCGCGGCGTCCGCCCCCAACGGGGGCAGCGCCGACTGAGCGCGCGGGCATTATCGTCGTCATCATCATCGTCGTCATAATCGTCGTCATCATCATCGTCGGTCGCTGTAGCCACGGCCATAGCGGGAGGTACGTTGGGCGTGGTGTGCCGGCCATGCACTATTTTCCAGGTCGCCTACCCCCGACAAACCCGGGTGAAAGTCACGTCCACGACCCCGTACGCCACCGTCGGTGGCGGTAAACGGACACGAATCTGCGGTCGTGCCCACTCCCGGAGTAAGTTAATCCGTGCGGGGAACGGGGCAACGGCCTCACGCGACGCGCACGGCATCAGTCCCAGCAGCAGCGAGCGTGTCGCTGAGCGTGTGCCCGTTTCACGCCGACCCCTGCGGCCCACACGGACGTTGGGGGCCAGATTGGCACCTGGCCACGTGGGTTCGGAGAGGGCACTTCGTCTTCGCGGCGATGCCGAGGTCAGGGCCCCCTGTCGCGGTGCCATGGTCAGCTCGCTGGACTTGCGACCCGGGGGTCGCCGGTTCGAACCTGCGGCAAGGCAGCCGTCGCGGTGCAAGCTCCTGGAATCCCAACGCCCGCCTTTGTGGACGCAGCCGTACGAATGCGCTCGCTCCCACGAGTCTGTGATGGGCAGGTCGTGTGTGGTGGGGTAAAGTGTGGGGACTACGGCCATTTGTTTCCGATGCGTCTGGGCCAGCGTCGAAGAGTAGGTAAACACATCCGCTGTGGAGGCACGCTCTGGGGCTCCCCTCGAGTGGAGGCGCTTCCGCTACCCGGAGCGTGAGACAGCAGAGGCACTAATTTCGCGAAACGCAATTGATCGCAGACGCGCTGCGTGTAATTGCAGCTTTCAGTCTTTAACATGAAATGTGATGAAATAAACATCAATAGTGACGCATTACTTATTCACAAGTTTGCCGTTCTGAAAAATCTCGACAATGGTCTCAGATAACACAACGACTGTCGAAAACATTTGGAGAAGGGGCGGTGTGGAAAGTGTGGAGGGGGGGCTACTAATCCCCCCCCCCCCCACCTGGGTGGGGTTCACAACCCCCGCCCCTCCCCGTCTCCCCCAGCGGGGGGCGCTGTGGCCGAGATGAGGCTCACGCGTGGTGGCTCCACGCGGCTCCCACGTGGAGCCACCACGCTTCCTGTCTCCAGCGCGCCGCCTGCGGAGGCGGTAAGTGCTACTTGGTGCCACTTGGTGGCACTTAGTGGCACGGTGAGGGATGGCTGTGGCTGATTGCACGGCAGGACAACAAGGCCCGTCCCCGGTACAGACATTCATCACTGATGTTGGCCGTGAGCGTGAATCGAGCGTGGCGCGGTGCGCTAACCACGCGTTCACGTGGAACGAAATCGGAGCACCCGGAGACATCCCACGCCTTGCGCGACTCGGCAACACTCTATCCCAGTACAGATGGAAACAGATGTACGTACACACACGTGTACACGTACACACACGTGTACACGTACACACATACACGTGTGTGTGTGTGTACACTTACACGTGTGTACACATACACGTGTGTGTATGTGTACAGAGACACGTGTTCGCCCACACAATCACCCTCAACACGTTCAACGAGAGCAGAACGTGTGCCCAGGTGCTCCCACATGTACCCACGTGTGCCCAGGTGCTGCCACCTGCACCCACGTGGGTACAGGTGCTGCCACCTGCACCCACGTGTGCCCAGGTGCTGCCACCTGCACCCACGTGTGCCCAGGTGCTGCCACCTGTACCCACGTATGCCCAGGTGCTGCCACCTGCACCCACATGGGTACAGGTGGCTCCCTCCGAGCTCCCGGGAGCTCCCTCCGAGCCCCCGGGGGCTGCCTCCCACCGGGGCTCGTGCTGATCACCGCCTCATTAACGAGCGCCAGGGTTCGGGGTCGGCCGCGAGGTTTTAGATTTTTGTTTTAAACGGGATCAGGGCACGCCGTATACGGCGAAGAGAGAATTTGATTTTGCTCACCGGTCCAGATCTCCATCGTCACAATCATCGTCACAATCATCGTCGTAATTATCGTCACAATCATCATCACAATCATCGTCACAATCATCGTCGTAATTATCGTCACAATCATCATCACAATCATCGTCACAATCATCGTCGTTGTTGCAGCCGCCGCCGGTGCTGCGGGGAGTGAAGGCCCAACTTAACCCCCCCCTCCCCCCATCTTCGTCTCGGTGCGTCTTATAATCCGGAAGCTCTGTGCGCGTGTGTGAGACCAGATCTGTATAACCGTGTTGACACCAGTGAGAAACACGTTTTGTGGAGCGTCTTATAATCCTATAACCCGTCTTGTAATCCGGGGAATTCTGTAGTAAAAAACCAACGGTTACCACAATTAGATTGCTGTGATGTTGGTCAACATGCGGGAGTGGGTAAGATGCCGAGTGGATTGGGACCACGGTGATGTGGAACTATGAGTGGAATTCGGGTTTTTGTGTTGTTCGAGAGCTGCGGGTCAGCATAAATAAAATATCTGGTGTGGGAATTATTTTTTGCAGCCGGTTTTTTTTAAATCAGCCACCATCACCGTTAATGCTGTTGTTGTTGTAATCATTCCAGCGAAGCTGCGAGCGCTGTAATTATTGATGTGGGCGCGCGGGTGCGACTCTGTCACTTGCGAACCGCACGCTAATGATGAGGAGGAGGAGGATGGCCTTGCCTTGGGCGAGTGTCGGCGTCTCCGTCAATAACGCATCCAATTGGGCTCTGTCATCGTCACGGCTTGAGGCGAGAACGCCACCGTGCTAATTTTAAGAAAACCAAAATAATTAATTGATAAATAAGCGCATGCATTATTTAGAATGCCTCCCGTCGATGTATCGAGTTGTCGCGGCTGTTGCAATCGTAAGTGAGTGGTAAGTGAACGGTAAGTGAGCGGTCAGTGAGCAGTAAGTGAGTGGTCCGGGAGTGGTCCGGGAGTGGTCAGTGACTGGGCCGCCTTCAGCCAGTTTCCCAGAACGTATCGCAGGAGCAGCAGCAGTGGACCAAGATGCTCGCTTAACCTCCACGAGTTGGCCCCGAGCTCGAAATAGACTCGGTGGGTGGCGTTTAAGGTGAGGACCTTCAAACGAAGCACAGCTTCACAATCTCACGTCTCGAATCTCAAAATCCCACAGTCTCACGATTTCACATTTCTAAATCTTCGTCTCAAAATCGCACGGTCTCATATTAAATATCAAAAGAATATAAACGGAGTGGTAGCTCCTGCAATCTCTCATTTACTTGATACAGCTGTCGTGGCTGTGACGGTTCCACCTGAAGACGGAAGCTTGTGTTGCCTCCGAAACGTCGTGATTTTTCTTTTATTTTACTTTTATTAATTTTAATGTTTTACCTACGTGACTTTACCTAAAAAACCTAAGAATATGAATCCTTGCAGTCACGAAAGCTTCAAATCTAGAAATAGTCTGAAAACGCAACAGTTTCACAATCTCGAATTGAGCAATCCCACAATCCCGAGTCAACCTCACAATCACAGTGCAACAACGATACCAGTCATAGTCCCACAATCTCGAATCTCACAGTTTCACAATCTCTAAATCTCACATCGCCGCTGTCTCAAATGTCACATCTCAAATTTTCAGTCGAAATCTCACATTCATAGTTTCATCTCACAGTTTCACAATCTCTAAATTTCACATCGCCGCTGTCTCAAATGTCACATCTCAAATTTTCAGTCTCGAAATCTCACATTAATAGCTTCATCTCACAGTTTCACAATCTCGACATCTCACATCGCCACAGTCTCAAATGTCACGGTCCGAATTCTCACTGGCGCCTTGTGCCTTCCGTCTGTGTCGCGTCGCACCCTCGCCGCCCAGTCCGACTGGACGTGCCTGGGTGCACTCTTCATTGCCAGGCCGTCGTCAACTGAGCGCGCGAAACGGTGAATTCCATCAACAGCATTGATGACAGCGATGAGATGTTCCTGCCAACATCTCCCCTCGTCCCTTGCGTGCGGCGTGTGGGGCTCCACCCGCTAATTGTCGAGCCACCGATTCATCTTTGCTGCCCCACATTCCGCGTCCTCAGCTCTGCCTGGGCCCTGGAAATTATGCAGACCTGGGAAATCGGACCTCCAAAGCATAAACATGCCCACGTGTCGCCTTCAACTAGGTCAATCCAAGCAACGTGTTCACGCGTCCGAACTGCGGCTCTCGCCGTGCTGTTTGTTACCTGTCGCTTGGCGTTCTTAAGCTACGTGGCCTGTGCTAAGCAACCGTGATCAAAAACCACAGGTCTACTGAGGCGAGTGCTGTTTGCGAGCACCTATTAAGGCCGAGCCTGGGCACATGAGGGCCGCCGTGCTGAAGGCTTCAGTCGACCTAAGGGAAACCCCGGATGCACTCGCCGCTCACGTACCAAGCCGTGGTGGGACATTGAACCGAGGTGGCGCGGTTTGTGGCGCAGTGCGCTACCCGCGGGGCCACAGGCGAACTCCGCGGACGCACGCGCCCCGTTTTATTGATGTCGACCCAGAGGTCGCCGACCGCGGGGAAGACCGATGGCGCGGCGTCTCGTGATGAGGCTGTCAGCGCGCTCCTTGGATGCCTCTGCGGCGATGTGAGACTCGACAACAACGGCGACCTCTGGCAGGAGGGAGGACGGCGAGCAGCGGGCGGCGGCCAATGCGAGGAGCGGCGCCCACCGCCGCGCTCATCACAAATTTCGTTCGAGCAAATTTGTTGTTGACTCGAATATTTCAGCAGGGTGGAGGGGGGTGTGGGGCGCTCGCCCCTCCCCCCACCCCTCCTCCCTCACTGGGGCTGGATGCTGCTGCTGCTGCTGTAAAGAGACTGATTAGTGGCATTTAAATGCCACTGCGAGGCGCCGCGAGGGAGCACGTGGTGGTGTTTCCGCCGCGTGTTCGTGCGCCTCGAAGCCGCGTGGCTCCGTGAGACCAGTGGCCCAGCACCAAATGTGCATCAGTCATAATACATCGTAATCATCGTTATAATCATCATAATAATCGCAATCATCATAGTAATCAATCATTCACCACAGCAGCAGCCATGATCAATCCGCCGCTGGATGAGGGACTCCGCAAGCCATCCCCATCCCTCACGACGGCCACGCGATGTCTCGCGACGCGTCTCCTCCAAGCCAGCCGAGCTGTCGTTACAGTCAATGTGAAGTCTTTGACCTGCGCGTGTCTTAATGAATCCGCGAGTGGTAATCTCTCTGCCTCTCTCTGCCTCTCTCTCTCTGCCTCTCTCTCTGCCTCTCTCTGCGTATCGGTGTAATTCCAAGCCTGCACCTCTCTACGACCCCCCCCCACATCTTTCAATCTTTGCACACTGCCAATTCTGCCCTTATTTACGATCCGTACGGCACAGTCGGCAGATGGGCCGCGTTCTCTTTGATGCTGGCGCACGATGGCACCACCAGGAGCCAGCAGCAGCGGCAGCAGCAATCTGCTCCAGGAACGAAGTGCCAAAGTCGAGGTCGTAGGCTGCCAGCCAGCACGACGGGAGAGGCGGTGTTCATTGCGTCACAATTCGTAGTCCGCACCGACATCGACTTCTAGACATTTGGAGGACGCGCGCGTGCGCGCGTTGGAACGGGTTTACAGCGGCATCCATGCGTGTGCACGAGTTTCCTTCCTGCTTCTTCCTCGTGTGATTACCTCGGCACATCTGTAGGCGGGGAGCAGGAGGTGGTTGTGGTGGAGGAGGAGGGTGGAGGGGGTGATTAGTTGGCGCTTCGTTAAGCCCTGGGGGGTAGGGGCGGCTGTTGCTAATTTATTTTGGAGGCGAATGCAGATCCGTGGTTCTGCGCGTTGTTAATTACAGCGGAGCGTGCACCGATGTTGCGTCGCTTTGGCGTTCGCGGTAAAGCGACCTGAGCGCCACTGCTCGCGGTGCCATCGCCCCGGGCAGCAATCCGCGACGAGTCGCCAACAGCCGCGTGTGCATACACATACAGACAAAGATCCCCCGTATAGCCTCACCAGACTGGCGGGGTCAAGTGTTGAGAGCGAGGGCCTATGAAAGCCTGCACGGCACACGTGGGGGTGGGTGACCTGGACCGCGCCCGGCCGCCTTTGTCT